AACTAAAATTTAAGCGGATTTGTCTCTTTTAATTTTTCTTTTCTATGCAAAGATAATAATCTAATTCAAATGTTGATATAGAATAGCACAAGAGACTAACAAAAAAAATAATACGGACTATTTTTTTTTCTGTTAAAAAAAACACTTAGTCGTATTTTCTCAAAGCTTTTCTTTTTCAAAAGATACAGATGAATAACTGATGATGTTATAATTTCAAATTCACCATTTTGTTTACTTTTTAATGCTCTGTCTATTAGTACAAAGCTCTTGTTGAAGTCTTCTTCTTCATATGAAAGAAATATCGCAAACAATAAATTCGATTACAATTTTGTAATATACGAATAATTTTCAATTATTGGAAAAGTGTACAATAGATAGATATATTCGAAAAGCTTTTATAAGAAATCATTCATAATAGATAGTTGAGTGACAATGGTTTTATTTTCTGATAAATTAAATCAGAAATTCTTCGTTTTTTTTTTTTTCGAAGTATTGTATTTGAATGTACATAAACTTTCGCATGTTTTCTACTCCAATTATGAATGTTTATCTAGTTTTTGCTGCGTACATGGATCTCTATTTCATTGAACGGAATATTCTTTATGAATGATTACTAATATTAGAAGTATTATATAAAGTTTAGAAAGACAATATAATTTAGTGATTTTAGTTGAGGAATTTTTTGTGTTTATGAATATAAAATGTTGGAAATCTTAATTTTGATAAGATCATCTAAGAAAAGGAAATATATCTCGAATCATTTTCATCATAGTTTTTTTGTTTTTCAGAGTATCATGATGAATATGAATCAAGAATAGAAGGTTGTAATGGAAGTGTAAGAACAAACCAAAACGATTAATCTTCATCAAGTATTTATTAAGTAAAATTTAATTAAACTTAGACTTTAACATTTCCCATATGCATTGATGTAATCAGAGATTTATAATATATATTTATATCTTATATAAATACAATAGAAAGAAATCTTATGTATTAAAAAAATTGTTTTCTTTTTTTTTTAATTATTCTAGAATGATCATATCAATAAACTTATCATTTATCAAGTAAGTATTTGTTTTTCTTTCAATAGTTTAGATAATTATTGATTTGTTATATCCTTCAGAAAAATATCATAGTAATAGTTTGAATATAGAAAATCTTATTCTTATCATCAAGAATACTTCAAAAATCGTTCGTGAAAAACCATCATCACTATATAGTATCTATCATACTATGATAAAACATCAATCTGTTTTTGTCTTATCAACAAATAAATCTTTCAAATTACGAGATCTCTTTCATTAATCAAGCTATTTTTCCGAAGGAGTATGTATAAATGTCAAGAAATTATTACTTCTATCAAGAATATGCCTATTAAAAACAAAGAAATAATAGAGCATAGAATTAGGATGAAAGAATAAATGATAACAAAAAAAACGATGTTTGCTATTCTTTACCAAGAAATATTTCGGTGAGAAAGGACAAAATATTCCATAAATGATGTGTTATCAATATAGTAAGCAAAAAAAAAGAAACAATATATCGATTAAGTTTCTAATCATAAGGACTGTCAAGGAAAAAAAAAGATAGAAGTTTATCAATTCTTTTATTATGATAAGAGAAAGAAACTTGACATGTAATTGTTTTAGTTACTGGATAGGTATCGAAGAAAAAAAAAATCTTCTATCAAATGTGTTATTAATTTAATATTTAAAATAATAGTCTTATTGATAAAAAATTTCCATAAATAAAATTCTTCATGAATAATTCAAATACTAATCTCAATATACAAGTATTTAAGTGTTTCTTCTTTTCTTCAAAGTAATACTTGAGATTAAGTAAGAAAAAAGACCATGGAATTCAGAAGGTAATTTATTGTTCGTATTACATTGCATATAAATACCTATAACTCGATATCAGAATATATGTTAATTTAAAGAACAAAAAAAAAAAAACCAGTTTTATAACTGATATTTGGATTGAAACATTAAAAGAAAATGACAACTTAAATCCCTATTTGATCTTTTTCAATATAGATTGACAATAATAGTTATTAACATCCAAATCAGAATCATACATAAAAAAAAAAAGTAATTGTTTTAATATTTGTTTTGATTTAAATTGTATAATCGTATTATATTATTGATACATATGTTTTCAAAAAAAACACAAGCTTTTTCTTTACTTTAAAAACAAGAAAAAAAAAACGTTTTTTTTTTTTGTGTTAGAAAAATAAAAAGGATTTAAATTTCTTTTTCTCTATTTGTTTTCATGTTTTTTTTTTTTTTTGTAGGAAACTATCTAATCTATTCATTGTGAGTTGTTTATGATAAAATCACAATGAATTAAGAAAAATTTTATTTTATTCAAAGTGCACATGCATCAGATAATTCATTATCGATCTTCATGTTTCAAAATAGACGTACAGTCTTTCTATTTGTTTGTTCAATTGTTTTTGTTCAAGCACTTTACTATATTATTACATTACAAATTAAAAAAAATCATGCACCAATTATAAATACTGCATCAATATTAATACAAACATCATTTTATAATAATCATTCGTCAGATAACCACCCACCGTCCGTCAAACAAACACAACCAAAGCTAAACACTTCAAACTCAATAGAAGTAAGTTCATTATAATTAGTAGAAAATTTCTAAATTAACTAAGAAATTTATTAAGATACAGATCTATAAAATATAAAAATATGCATAATAATAAATTTATTGTTATTTTTAGACTAATCATACGCGTGTTTCAAAATCGATAAATATATCACAAAATCTCATAATAAATAATTCAAATCTTACTATTACATTTAATCTTTCTACTACTTCTACTACTACTACTACTACGATTCAAACAACAACAACAACAACTCTACCAGCAATAACAATTCCATTTTTGAATGCAACATTTTATTCATCTTTTAATTTTACTAAACCATCTTTAGAAATTCATAATTCATTACCAATTTGTAATTTTTCTATAACAAATAATGATACATCAATATATAAAGTAAATATAAGTCAAACACTTTATTCATATAATATTATTGAAGAACATCATGGAAAATATTTATATCCAGGTGGACATTATATATCAAAAGAATGTCAACCTGAACAACGTTTAGCTTTAATAATATGTTATCGAAATCGTGAACAACATTTAAAAATGTTTCTTGATAATATTCATCCATTTTTACAAAAACAACAACTTGATTATACAATATTTGTTATTAATCAAAATGGAAATGATCAATTTAATCGTGCTGCATTATTTAATGTTGGTTATTTAGAAGCTATGAAATTATATTCATATGATTGTTTTATTTTTCATGATGTTGATCTTTTACCAGAAGATTTAAGAAATATTTATAAATGTGGTGATCAACCAAGACATATGTATGTATTCGAAGCAAAAAAACGAAAAAGAAAAAATTTTTTTTTCCAATTTATTCACATGGATTGAAAACTTATTTTCCTAGACTATTTGCATTTGTGTGCATCATCAAGCATAATAATTTTTATTTCATTACACTAAATAGACCTTTCAAATTTATACAAATCTTCAAAGATCTATTGAATCATATTTTTTCATTAATTTGATATAAAAATATTCTAGAATAAATAATGATTACAATCTTTTGACTCAAATGCTTTTTGTTTTGTATCCTATTCAGCTAATCTAATTTCTAAAACATATTCTATGTTCAATCTATATTAGAGATGTGCGCAATCATGAAAAAGAAAAATTATCAACATAACAAGAGAAAAAACAGTTCTCCTAATCGAAACTAAAGATTATAGACAAATATTCTTAAATAAATAGATCCAAAAAAGAAAAAACTGAGTATTGAAAGATTCTTTTTATATATAATACAAAGAAATTTTGTAAAACATGAAGCATTAGAAAAGAAGTTACAGAAATCGAAACCCAAAACAAAAAAACTTGGTTTCGCACGTCTCTAATTTACATTCATCATTTCATCATAAATCATATCTAACTACCTTTCTTGTGATATACTTCGTTTGAAACTTCTAGCAGCATCTCTTTCTTAAAATTGCAAGTTAATTACGCAAGATTTATTTAACATTAATATTCTTATTCTTTTTTTCAATTCATTATTTTATATTAAAACTTGATCTGATGTTTTGTTTTGTTTTGTTTTGTTTAGGTCTGTAGCTGTTGATAAATTTAATTATAAATTACTTTATTCAACATTATTTGGTGGTGTAACAGCATTTCATTTATCAGATTTTATTGGTACACATGGATATCCAACAGTTTATTGGGGATGGGGTGGTGAAGATGATGATATGTATTTACGTGTTGTTAAAAAATTAAAAAAATCTATAACACGTTATCCAATTGAAATAGCTCGTTATAAAATGATACGTACACATGATCATACATCAGGTAAAGCTAATCCACATCGTCATACAATATTATATTCAAAATATGATTATAATCTTGATGGTATAAATACAACAAATTATACATTACATAATATAGTTTTTTATAAATTATTTACATTAATTAATGTAACATTAACTGAAGAATCATTTGAACATATTCGTACACGTTTACATATAAAAAAGAAAAAATAATAACAAAAAATTATTATATTATTTTACATATTTAAGAGAATAATGTTTATCTCATTTTATATTATCTGTGATGTTATGAATAATAATGGATTAATTAGATTTTTGTTTTCTATCTAACTGATTATACCAAAAGAGAAAAGAAACAAAAAAAAAGATCAAAATACAAGAATGAGTCGTTTAGTCATTATATGTTTTTTTTTTTGAAATGAATAAACTTTGTGGCTTTCTTTTTTTTTTGTTTGTTTTGTTTGCTTGTTTTTATATACATTTCTTCTTTATTTGTTATATATTTAATCGATGATAAATATTAAAAAAAAAAAACAAAAAATCATGGCAATATAAAAATATCAAAGAAATTTTAGTATTTTATAGATAAAATATTCATCATGTCGTATATGTTACCACATTTACATAATGGCTGGCAAGTTGATCAAGCCATTTTATCAGAAGAAGATAAAGTTGTTGTTATCCGTTTTGGACATGATTGGGATCCAACATGTATGAAAATGGATGAAGTTTTATATAAAGTTGCTGAAAAAATTAAAAATTTTGCTGTTATTTATTTGGTTGATATTACTGAAACACCAGATTTTAATAAAATGTAAGTTTATATATATATGATTAGAAGTAGCAGAGATGAGCAAAGTCGCACCGCACTTCCCCGCGCCGTTGCTCACGCCTACGCTACACTAGTCTGAGCTTTGATGAGCGCATGCTTAGAGCATCCCGGTATTCGATGGAGTTTGAGAAACTGATTGGTTGAGCAAAGAGAAAGAGAGATGTGCGTAGCGCCTAGGCGCGAGCAGTGGCGCGGTGCGATTTTGCTCATCTCTGAGAAGTAGTTATATTTTCTATTTATTTTTATTGAAATAAATATCTTCAGAATTCAGTAAAATTAGATTATTGAACTATATCAATATTTTTACTTGATTACTATTCTTAATTAAAATATATTTTATTTACCTTTTTTTTTCTAGGTATGAATTATATGATCCATGTACGGTTATGTTTTTCTATCGTAATAAACATATTATGATCGATCTTGGTACAGGCAATAACAATAAAATAAGTTGGGCTTTAGAAGATACACAAGAATTTATTGATATTGTTGAAACAGTTTATCGTGGAGCTCGTAAAGGTCGTGGTTTAGTTATTTCACCAAAAGATTATTCTACAAAATATCGTTATTAATTTCTATATGTCTGTTTCTCATATCTCTCTCTCTCTTGTCTTGTTGTAATAAAATAAACTAGATTTTTCTTTGTAAAATATATTTTCAAGATTTGATTAAATAAACAACAGATTTATAAAAACAAAAAACTCGAAAAAATGTTTGTAGATATGACAACTGATCAAATAAGAACAACTAATGCTTATCGATTGTTTATAAATCGATTATGTCAATCTTGTCCATTAAAAAATCATTGTTCTTTACTAAACAAGTTTATCGAACAACAGGTAGATTTGTTTTTTGTATTTCGTATAAAAAAATAAAGATTATATTTTTCAAATAATTTTTGACGTAAAAAAGAAACAAAATTCTTATGTGATTGTTATATAGGAAAGAATATCACTTGAATCAACTTTACTTAATCATTCCGAAATACAAACAATAAATAATGTATCATCTCTTCAACATTGTTTTCTATGTCTTGATATTTTACATCGTTATATATCCGATGAATTTATTCAACAAGTAAGATTGAAATACATGTTTTGTTTTTTTTTAATCCCAATCTATATATTTTCTTTATTAAATTAAAGATTAAACAAGTTGCTCAATCGACAACAATTGATTTTCAAACATTTTGTTGTAATCTTACTTTACCAATGAATTTATTTATTCGACATGTAAATCAAAATAAATTGATTTCTGAAAAAAAGAAAAAAAAACAGAAATTTTCTCAACGTATTTCATATTGCAAATTGTTTCGGAATTATTCGCATGTTTTTCGTTTGAACTTTTGAAACATCTAATTTATTCATTTCTAGGCATATTTACTAAAATTTTTAACAAAATTTATTGGTGAATGTAATGAAAAAGATTTGCCTATTATTAAAGATCAATGGCGAAATCTAATGATTGATCGATTAGAAGAAGAACTTAAACGACCATATCAAATTGATGTATTTAAACATAAATTAAATGCATTCGTTTGAAAAAAAATTTTTTTTTTTAAATCATTTTAGAGTCCTTTCGAAATTAATATAACATTTGAATTTAATAAAGAAAATGAAGAACTTAATTTTTTGTATGTATATACTATATTAAAAAAAATTGAAAGAAAATTTGTTTGTTTTTTTTTTAGACGAAAATTTCGTTATGCTAATAATCCTAAATTACAAGTAAGATATTATTTAATTAAATTATATGACCATTGTTTATTTTTCTTATCAGTACCAATTAGAATACCATCACTTGTACAATAGAGATTTTTTTGATATTGAAGTTGATGTAATCGTGTTAAAATAGTCCATTGATTTGTATGAATATTGTATCTAAGTTTACAAATAAGATTTCTAATTTTAAGAACATAGTGTTTGAATAATTCTAGTACTTCAAAAGTCGAAGAGATTATTCCTTGTCTTTATACTTTTTATTCTACTGTCTGTTCAAAATTAAAATGGTCGCTCGCCATTTTTTGAATAATTTGAGAACAGAAGCAGATAGCGAACTGCAGTCTAAAGAAGAGATATCGGAAGAAACTATTTTAAAATCCACCGTTTTTGTGAAATGTCGAAAAAAAAATAATCCATCATTAAGATGAAATTTTCACAAAAAATTTACTTAAAAACTAAGAAAAAATTCATACCTTTTCAATCAATAAATTGAGAATTTAATGTGCTTTACTTTAGAATGTATGAAGATAATCATTCAAATTATATCTTAAACTATAGATCTGAAGTTTCTCTATCTAAATAACATACCAAAAGCCATTTTCACCTAATATTTTGCAGAAATAATTGATTTGAAAATGATGTCGTCTCATACAACATCAGAGAAAAAGATGTCCCAACATCGCCTCTTTCGACTGGTGAAAATTGCAGCTCGCTAACTGCTTTCATTCTCAATTTATTCAAAAAATGGCGGAGACCATTTTAATTTTAGATAGACAGCTACATAGTATGTATCCGTCTGCTCTCAAAAATTAATATTTTAGTAGCGAGAACCCGTGCATATTGCACGGCTGTTTTCTCCTTTAATGTATGACCTCAGACATTTAACTTTTCATCCGGTAAAATACATACAGACACTCGATATTATGTACATAGATAGGTTGCCCTACGACCTCATACTCTCATATCGCACATATTTTTATAGTCCATGCAGCCTTCGGCCTTATAGCCTTATATTCCTTGTACACTTATCTCCCTATTGCCTTACTCCCTTCAGGGCCTATGCGTATCACAATATAATAGCCCTTGGGGACCTATGGGTACCCCCATAGGATAGCCGTTGAGGACCTATGGGTACCTCCATAGGATAGCCCTTGAGGATTTATGGGTGCCCCCATTGGATAGCCTTTGAGGACCTATGGGTACCCCCATAGGTCAGCCCTTGAGGACCTATGGGTACCCCCATAGGATAGCCCTTGAGGACCTATGGGTACCGCCCCAGGATAGCCCTTGGGGACCTACGGGTACCCCCACATAATAGCCCTTGGGGATCTATGGATACCCCCATCGGATAGCCCTTGAGGGCCTATGGGTACTCCCATAGGATAGCCCTTGGGGATCTATGGGTACCCCCCTAGGATAGCCCTTGAGGACCTATAAGTACCCCATAAATAGTCCCTGGAGATCTCCCCTTATAGCCTTATGTGACCTTTAACCTTTGACCCTGCACAGACAGACAGACAGACACACACGGAGCATTATATATATAGATTTTCACGAAGTGTAATTGAGGAACTTTCCTTTGTTTACTCTTTAAATCATTATTTTACATACAAAATAGTTTCATATTCTAATAATATGATAACTTACTGTTCAATTGAAATAACATTAATATTAGTCATTATTTTATATTTATCATAAATATATTGTAATCCACCAACAGTATAAATCATATCTGAATAATAAGTAACAATTGGTTGTCCTCGTGCTTCATTACATGATGATATTGATAACCATTTTTTTTTATTTAAATTCAAACGAAAACATTTTCTCATAGCAATAGGTCCTTGACTAGTCATAATTAAACCTCCGACAATAATTATTGTACAATGATCAATAAAACAAACACCTGATAAAAATATACCTTGTTCATATCTTAATGGTAAATTAGGTAATGAATACCATTGTTCTTGTTTACAATTAAATAGAATACTTGATGAAATTGATTTTTGTTTATTAATTAATCCACCTATAAGTATAATATAATCAATAGTTGCTGCTAAACCAAATTGACTTCGACCAGGATACGGCCCATCAATATGTTGAATTATATGAGATATAATATTAAATTTAAACATTCTTGTTTTATATTCTCCTATTGCATAGAGAAATTTTCCAATATGTATAAAAGCATATTTTTGTTCTAATGAATCAAATTGATTAAATAATTGTAATGCTTGATGAAAATCTTGATTAATTTCTTGACGAGTTCTTTTTAATGTACAACATATAGCTATAGTAGTTATTTTTTTATCATTAATATTCCATATATATTGAGAATTTATTGTTTCTTCTGATTCTGTTATCGATAATGTTTGTTCATTTGAAGATTTTATTTTAATTGATTTATATGGAATAAGACAATAAGATGAATTATTATTTTCATTTTGAATTATTGAATTATCTAAACGATTAAGTATAATTTTTTGATAATTTATAAGTTCATATAATTTTTTATTCATATTAAAAAATTTATTTGTTATTAAACATGAATTATTTTTTGATAAATTTGAATAATTTATATATTTTAATATTAAATATTTCATTATTATTTTTCGTTGTGATTGATCTTTAAATGTTGACCAATTAAGAAGAGAATTATATAGAATTGTTGATGATATATTATTTGGAAATAATAATTCAAATAATTGAATAAGATTTTGAGATGTTAATAAAAGAAAATTTTTATTAGATATTATTTGAGAATAAAAATATTTTATTGCTTGAATAATTCGTTCATATAATATATAATTAATAGTTGGTATTAATAAACAACATTTAAAATATGACCATAGAAGTGATAACTACGATAAACTATTGAGAATTTTAGTCTATGATACAAAAAGAATTGAATAATTCTTTTTTTTTTTGACCTACATTTTCAGATTTATCGTACATTTTTTCTATAGATTCATTTATAATTTGAATACATCGTTGAATAATATGTTCAATATTTAATTCACTAGCTGCAAGAAATAAATCTGATATAGTATTAATATTTAAAATAAGTCTTGATGTATATAAATAAATAAGTAAAAGTTCTAAACCATGATATGATGTAATTTTTAATTGACAAGTATATTTTATTTTTGAAGAATTAATATTATTAATAAAATAATTTTTAAGTGAATGACAAACATTCAATAAAATAGAACTATGTGCATAATAACGTCGATTTGAAACAAGAAAAACAAGATCACAATCAATTGATGATGACCATAATTGTAGAATTGTTGAACTTAATGTATCAGCCATACGATAATCAAATTCAATATGATCATTGTCTAAATTATATCGAGAAAAATTCATTAATTGATTAAGAGATATTGATGAAGAATCTGAAGAAATTGTTTCTTCACTTGTTGAATTTGACATTTCTAATAAAGAATATTTGCGCTTTTTTTGTCTTCACAATTGAAATGAATCTAATGGACAATCATGAAAACTTCTTTTAAGATTCACTATTCACTCTATTAATATAACTTAAAAACGATCAAACCCGAACGGTTTTGATTCGTTACCGGCTTATATTATATTAAAAATTATTATAATTTTAGAAATCAAATGCTAATGAAGCATTTACTCGACAATCGGTTACATCTATTCTTAATGATCTTACATTTGATGATTTTGAAAAGTAAATAAAACTATTTCATAGAAGAGTTTTGAAATGAATTCTTCTATAAATATTAGATATTACAAACCAGCTATCGATGGACAAACATCATGTACAATATCTGCTCAACATGATTCAATTTATGTTGCTGGTTGTAAATATTTTCTTTATTATTTGATATTATAATTTTTTTTTTAGGACGTTACAATAAATATTCTCGTACATTATCTCAAACTCCATGGATTATTGATGGTGTTCGTAAAGCTGATGTATCTGTTGAAGAATTAATTGCTCTTCCCATAAGTAAACTTGTTACTTCTAAAAGTATATTATTTTAGTTTTAGTAATAAAAATAAATATTTGAAATATTGTTTTTTTTGTTTTCATTCAATAGATCATGTTTTTATTTCATCAGGTCGTGAAGATGTTGATGTACGAACATTAGGTCGTGGTTAGTATATTAATTGAGTTTGTTTTGTTATTTTAAGAATATTCTTTTTTTTTTGTTTAATAGGTCGACCATTTGTGATTGAATTTCGACAACCATCAAGAATTTTATATCAACCTGAAGAATTTCTTACTGTTCAACAGGTTTATAATAGATTATTTGATTTTCTTAAAATATTTTTCATTTCTTTGTTTTTAGGAAATTAATATGTTAACAAAAGATATTCGTGTACGAGATTTACAACAAGTAACAAAGTATATAAAATTAAAATTTTCAAAAAAAAATATTTTCATATCTATTTTAATATAGAGAAGAAAGTAATCAAATAAAAGAAGGTGAAGAAGAAAAAACAAAATGTTATGAAGCATTATGTTATACTGATACACAAATTGATCAAATTGAACTTGATCAAAAATTTGCATCCATATCAAATTCATTAATTATTGAACAAAAAACTCCAATTAGAGTTTTACATCGGTAAATAAAAAAAAAAAATATTCCTTGTGTGTTTTATATTTTGAAATTTCTTAGACGAACATTAATGACACGTCAACGATTAATATCTGCTCTTTCAGCAATTGTTATTGATCCATATCATTTTCGTTTACGTTTAACAACTCAAGCTGGTGCTTATGTTAAAGAATTTGTTCATGGTGATTTTGGTCGAACAAAACCAAATTTAACAATAATACTTAATCGTTTTGTTGATATTCTTGAATTAGATGTTCTTGTATGTAATTTCATATATATTTAGAAAAATATTTATCGAAATATTTTATTTTATAGGCAGTTAATATTGATTTTCCACCAATGTTAAACAATGATAATAACGAAAATGAAAACGATAATTTTTGTGATATGAATGGAAAATAAAATATTTTGAAAAAATTAAAAGATCAATTTTTTAATAGATCAATAAATATATTTTATTTTTGTATTATCGATGCATAAAATCATCACAAACAAACAATAGAGTAGTTTCAAAGTGGATGTAAAGGTATCCGTGTTGTTGTGGGATCGTTGAAACTAAGCATTGTATGCACACACACACACACCACCCTCTACAGCCATACACACATCACACATGTGATGCCCACCTATACCCTCGTTTCATGGTATGCTTTTGCTAGAACAGCTTTTATTGTAAATTCTAAAAAATGAAAATTTTCACATTCTATATGAATTTTCTTGTTTCGTCTATGCTAGTTGACAGTCGATGCAAGTAAAAAAAATCTTATCATGAAATTGAATTTCTTTTTTTTCGTTAGTAGAAATTTTCTTTGAAAAATTTCTGACCAATACCATGATTCAATGATTCATACCTTTTATAAAGATATATTACACCATCAGATTGAAACAAACTTGTTTTGATTTATTCTTTCTTTATAAACACGAAAGAATTTGTATATCATTGTGTGAATCATTATATATTTGATATGTCTCAAATTTCGACATTTGATCATTTACCAAATGAATTAATCATATATATTTTTTCCTATTTAAAGTCGAATGAGAGTTTTTATGCATTTTTTTATTACAATGATCGTCTAAGAAAATTAGTGAAACGTCATGTTACCTACAGTCGTCGTGCACTTAAGAAAGATATTACAAGGTTTTCAACTTTACATAGTTGGTATAAACACTTAGACTATATGAATGATGGCACCAAATTTTATTTAATACCAATGAAAGGTGAACAAGCACGATACTCGTTTGATCCACGCATTTCTGATCACTCTGGTATCCATTGGCATTTTTGGACCGCCTCGGGTCTACTTAATGATCAAAGAATACAGGAAATTATTCGAAAATATCCGGTTCGACTTAATCGTTCCTTTTATCCCACAATGGGTAGCCCTGAGCTACCACGAATGGGATCTGGATTTCAGGATTTTGTTCGTCGACACTATCCATCTCAATGGAACGCCTTGGAAACAACATTTTTCAATGAATCAGACAAGAAAATTTATACAGATGCTGTTAAAATCCACTTACAATATATTCATGATAATGAACCAAAACGTCTTGAAAAAATCATCTTAGAAGCAGCTGACAATATCTGGAAAGAACTACAAGAGTTGGAAGATGTAAATATACTTGAGATTGAAGACAAAGAATAAACTGCGGCATAAGGACAGCTATCACTCATCAAACTAGCCTCTAAATCTAAATGATTTGATTGATATCAAACATTAAATTTTTATCTTTATTGTTCGATAAGAAACGTTGTCTTGTAAGACTATTTAAAATTCTGAATTTTCAAAAAAAATGTGGATTTGAGTTGCAGTTTAGGTGTGTGTCCGTCTCGAACTACATCGATTCTCTATGTGATTAACACGTTAGTTCAAAGGGTAAAGAGCAATTCTTCTTCACAATCTTCAATAGATATGAGCATTAGTTTCGGTTGATCTGAGACACTGATTCACATTAGATGTTGATGCAAGTGTGAGTGTCGATGGAGATGTAGTCTTCGATAACGACACAATTGATAAATTATGAAAAGTGCCTAAAATATTTTCGCTGAAAAAAAACTGTCGCCGTCATAAAAGCTGAATTGGTTCACGGTTCATGTATTTGATAGAATTGAGTTGTAGCTGATTCCAAGGTCTACCGAAATTACTATTTGGATATCCATTAAAGGCAATCTTTTATACAGAAAAATGAAATCTGCCTTCAACTTTTTATCCCACTTTATCTTAACTCTATTCAAGGACTAAAGTGATGAATTAATTGTTCAATTATTTCCAAAATCGTTTCTGAATTGTCGTTGAGATTGATAGAAGCAAGTCTAAGGCTTATAAGAAAATAACCAAAAATTGTTTCTTAGATATATCCAAGCATACCACAAGTTTCTACTTGATGCTACTGTGAGGATTGAAAATTTTGAGAGATCAAATCGAAAAAATCTTTGAAAATTTTACGTACGATGATTACTCTAATGTTAGACTAAAGTCGACTATATTCCAATTGAGTAGAAATAAGTGTGATCTTCATATTGAAAGGCAGCATTTCAAGCACGAAAGCATTTTGCTATGGAGACTTTTTTGAGATATGCAATAGAAAAAAATAAGTTTGACTCGTAAGCCAATCAATATACATCTAGTATTAATAGTTAATCATTTTAAAAAGTTTGATTGAAGTCAATTTTACTCGATCAAAATGGATTAAACATTAAATAATTTGATAAAAATAGAATTAATTAACGTACCAAATTAACCGAATTTCAATCAGAAAAATTCGAATAAAATCAATTTTTTTTCATAGGCATAGGACTAATATTTTTGTTTAGTTCTGTGACAACCTCTAGTATAAACATTTAGCAAATGAGAATTTTCCATGCAGCAATGCTTTGGTTTTATTTGAACAAAAGGTGGTATGCTCTTGTACTTCAATTCATGTTGAACTCTTTGTTTAGCAC